CATATTATATACGAACGATCTACTGTTTAAAATGAATTTAGTCCCAAGAAAAGAATGTTAAAATATTTGGGGTAGGTTAGAACACTGGATTAATACTGGAACCGGAAATAAATTAACATTTTCATTACAAGATAAATTATTTGGTTTAAAAGGTTCAAATAATTATGCATTGAATTGTATACTGATTGTGGTGCGACAGATGGTGTATCAAGGCTCAAATTAATTTTTTGTCCACGGGGGCTCTTCCAAAAAAAAAAGAGCCCCCGTGAGCCCTCTCACGGGGGCTCTTTTAGTACCGACGGGGGCTCTTTTTTCATACAAATTTTCATTAAATTGGTACCCATGAAACTCCTAAATTCCTTGGTATTTTATCATTATCATTTAGTCGGCATTTTCCCTCTTAGAAAATTTACTTGTTACATAGCTGTTATTGACTTTTATCTCCGTGATGACATTCTCTCCATTTCTTCCCGCTCTGCACATAATGTCCTCCTCATTATTTGGAGCAACCTTATTTACATTCTTTCTTTACTTTTAGTTTTTACCATATCCTTCCAAAACATAGGGGCGGATCTAGCTTTTTGCTAAGGGTGGGGGGGGGGTAACCCAAATACGATGTGGAGCATCGTCCACGAGCCGCGTAGCGGCGAGGCGATTTTTGTTGTTGCTATTTTGAACCCCCGTAAGTGATGTTTTCCTGACATCTACTAACATGCGGAGCATCGTCGACGAGCCGCGAAGCGGCGAGGCGATTTTTTTTGTGCGCTATTTTGAACCCCCGTTAGTGATGTTTTCCCGGCATCTACTGACATCTACTAATACTGTGTTGGTCTGGACACAATGACACATGATAGCATTTTTCTATGCACATCACATTTTTACTTGGCAGCCCAAGGGGGAGGGGGGGGGTGGTGGTTGAACCCCCTTAACCGCCTAGATCCGCCCCTGCAACATCTTTGCTGATCTTCTTTTCAATATTGATTTACTGGTCGAGTTACATTATTTGCTGATCTTTTAGAATATCCAGATTTCAGAGGATTCACACTTTTCACAACGAAAAACTTCTCCATGTTTCAGTCCTTGCGCGATCGTCTCCAGCTCCAGCAGATATTGGGCGTCAGCGTGCACACCGGTACTACCGGCCCAGTATAGTCGCTGCTGACGGCCGCACTACAGCTGCACTGCGAGCTCTGTTGTTTGTATCGGTAATACTCATAGAGATGGGAGAGAAAGCGCCATCTAATTAGTTCCATTTTATTGGTTTAACGTTTGAACATTGATACTCAATATTGTGTTAAAGTTATATCAGAAAAAATAATCTTTATTTTATAATTCCACGGGGGCGATTTTTAATTTTGCAATCGCCCCCGTGAACCATCTGACGGGGGCGATTGTGGAGCTCACGGGGGCGAATCGCCCACCGCCCCCGTGTATTTTGAGCGTTGTGGTGTATACTTGCAAAATAAAGAAACAATTGCCCGACTTTGATAGTATTAGAGTTTCGATTATAAATTACTTCAAAAACGAAAAATATATTGCAAATTCGAATTGTAGAAATAATAAATTCACAAGAAAATGGTTTCAATTCAGGAATTTGTTTACTTAAAATGATATTTTTTCTGTATTTGTTTTTCTTTCCATGAGTGTTAGAAATGAATTATTGATTTGTTAGTTTTCTATTAACTCAACAGCTCAACAATACTTGTATCTTGAAAAGCCAATTTTATTTTATTCATGTTATTATGTAAATTACCTTGAATATATATTTTTGTATGTGTTTCAAATGAAAATCAATAAAATCCCTGTGGAGGGAAAAATATGGAAAAAAAAAAATATATATATATATATATTATATAAACTGTTATTTACAAAAACGAAATTATAAACTGATAATCGCCAATTTATATCAGATTTCCGAGGTCGCAACTGATCTGGGATTAAGTGATGCCCTATCTGAAACGGATACCTATGACGTCACTGACGTTGCTGACCTGGATCGCGTCATTTCGATACCGATGCAGATTCCTAGGGTGTGGCACTTTGAGCCTGGTCAACTCACCACCCAAATCACGCAGCACAAACTCGACCTCGTGACTAAGAGAATCCGAGTAAGGCTTAAAAAAAAGTTCTTTGAAAAGTGCTTTAGTGTTGATAGAGGGATGGCAGGTGAAGAAGGGCTCTCTTAAACAGTGGCTTAGATATAGTCATGTGGGAAGGGAAAATGACTGAAGGAATGGAGAGAAAGGATAGAAAGGGATATATAATAGTAGACAGATAGATGTATAGATAGAAAGAGAGAGAGAGAGAGAGATAGAAAGATAGAGGAAAGAGAAAATGATCGGGATCGAGAGAGAGAGAGAAAAGAGAGAGAGAGAGAGAGAGAGAGAGAGAGAAAGAGAGAATTAAAGGTTGTTTGTAAAGCATAACCACCCACCAAAAGTTTAGTCTATGATTTACATTATCATAAGATAATTTATACAGGTAGGCTACATGTACATAGGCCTATATTTATTTTTAAAATGGCAGTTACGGAGGGGGGGGGGGGGGGTCACACCCGACCCGTCTTTTTCGAGACCAAGTAACTAACACAGCTGACAGACAGAAGCATGTGCCACCACCGCCCTCTAAATATTCTTTCAACCCAAATTTCAAATATTGCCCGCTTAGACACCTGGAAAACTGAAGAAGAAAAAAAAAAGTTTATCGTTCTGTTTTTTGTTGTTGATTGTCAGATAATTTTGTGTAATACATCTTCACCTAATCGTGGATAACATTGCTTTTTTGTCAACAAACGTTTAAAAAAATCCCCCCCCCCTTCTCCCCACTCTCATAAAACCTGGATCCGCCCTTGATAATTATATGTACCACTCTTGTGTACTTACTACAGGATTTAAATGACACACTGGGCTTGCAACCCTACGCATGCGCCTCATCCATCCTGGTTATGATGGTGGATAAGCTCTCCAGGGCACAGCGCAGTGCAGTATGCCTTTACACCATCCTTGAGGCAGAGAGACGACAGGCCGAGGAAACCCAGGATGCAATGCAGGTAATGAATATTCATAACTATAAAAACAAAATCGCACTTCGATTGATTAGGAGTCACAATAGGAATCACTTTCCTTTGGAGTTGGACTCACTCCAGCATTTCTAGTAATCCATCTCAAAGTAGTGTGTCGATAACTCTTTTTGAGTGTGGATTCCTGTTTTTTCTTCTAAAAGAGCACAGTTACATATTTTAGTTGGATTTTACTAATAATAATTGTGATTATATGATAAAGGTGGGAAAAGCGAATGTAATTTAAAGTTTATACTCTTGAAATATAAAACGAACAGAAAATCTCTAACTATCGATGATTATGATTTTGTAGAAGCAAGTTAAAGAGCTGGAAACTGGCCTGGAAGAAGAGCGGCGGCAGGCTACGTCTTCCAAGGATGCACAACAGGTAATTGATATTTGTTTAGCAATCGATTCTATATAATTTTAAATTCTTTTGCAATTACCTAGGAATACAAAAGTTTTGTCTGTTTGCTTTTAAATAATTGATGTGTGTCTGGAATAAGAAAGTTTTGTTTGTTTGATTGTTTTCAGATTTCTAATCTGTGCTTCATTATAGATAATAACTGTAAAATGAATAAAATCAGCTGACACAATGATTGTAACATTGATAATAAATACTGGAAGAAGATCAACATCTAAATTGAGTAATATATTTTGGAATGTTCGGAGTATAATGTTGTTCAACTGCTCATCATCACCCCACTGTCTCCGCTATTAACTTCTAGAAACACGTTGATGAGCTGGAAAGCCGCTTGGAAGATGAGAAGCGTGCAAGCAGGCAAGCACAGGATGAACTTCTGGTAGTTTCTACTCCAATCCCTAAATATTTTACTTTTAAGACATGTCAGAGATAGCAATTTTTCATAGATGATGAATAATCATACTGCTTCATAGGGTTTGAAACTATAGTTGGTGCATGGAAACAAAGGGATCCGGAAATACAAGTCAATTATCTTTACCATCTTTTGTATATCAAGTAAATCAGTGGATGACAAATCCACCTGCTTTTCGATATAATAGAGATTTTCAGGTGCCAAGTGTTTCTAAAGATCGTGTTATATCTGTATATTTGACAAACTCCACGTATACTTTGTTCATACACACTTTCTGTTAATATTACACAACCGTTTTGTGTTATTGTGCTGCAAAGTCTTCATAATTTTATTAACCTAACATAAGTCAGCTTGAGTATTCATGGTTCTTTATCTTGCATGTTTGTTTTTTTGTAGAGTCATCTTTCCAAACAGGTCCAGACATCAGAGACTCAGACGGACAATGAGATATCGGTCCCATCCTCAAGCAGCTCTCAGGGAGTTGATCCATCGGCAGCCATCTCTGAGGAAATCTTCTATGACGCCCTTTCCACCATCGATGACGACCAAGCACCAGATGTCTATGAGGATATCTTCTATGATGCTCTTACCACCATTGATGACAACCAATCAGGAGCTAGAACCAAGGAGATCTTCTATGACGCCCTCTCGACAAACCCGAGGAAGATTCCCTCCTGTGTTTATTGACGCTGTTGATGCACTAGAGTTTGACGAAGTGTAAGTACTAATGGTAAAACATTGAAATTTCCTGAATATGTTCAGCAGTGCGTTTTACCTGATTGAACCTCTCAGACCATTAGCCATTCTTTCTGATAAAATATTATTGAAAAAATAAGTAGCATATTATTTTCTTAAATTATTTTTTGCTGGATTTATAGGCCTACATGTATAGACTATTTTGTATTAGAGTGTTTAATATCAAAACGTGATATTATGAAACAACGTTAAACTTTCCTCGTTATTATTCACATGTGCGTGGGCTAAATTTTAACTGTTTGATTTTGGATTAATGTATGATTTTACTCATAACTTTGTCTTTGTGTAGGAAAGCATTTGTACCCTGGTCAACTTTGAGGCTAGACAGGTTTTTGGACAAGGTTATCGAAATGTCAAACAGTGACCTCGATGCAGCAAAGGCTACCCCAAAGTCCAAAGGCAAGGCTAAAGCTGGCACCATCGTGAGACGAATGCGTGACCTTGTTCCATTTCGTGAGTCGAATGGTTCAATCGAACTTGGAAGTGGAACTGCCGGGACCGTCTATCTTTTCCGCCACGCCAAGACCAATGAGCCAGTCGCCCTCAAGGTCATCGCTCTTCCTCCTGGAGGCGTTGACGGAAATAGGAAATCCGCAATCGAGAAGCTCCAGAATGAAATGAAAATCATCCAGAGGTTGGGATGCATGGAGTGGTTCCCGAGTTCTACGGATGCTGCAAGGTGCGTATTGACGTGGTAGGCATTGCTATGGAGTTCTGCGGGGATGTAGAAAAAGGCAAGAGCTATTCAATCCTGAATTGCATAGATGGCAAGGGCCCAAGCTGGACAAAGACGCCTGGATGAATGTCATGTTGGATATAGCAGATGGACTCACAGTGATGCACAAGAAGGGCTTCTTGTGCAATGATCTCAAGGAGGACAATGTGCTCCTGGTGAAGTCTGGAGGAGAGTGGCGAGCTAAGATCATTGATTTCGGATGGTCCAGCGATATGAATATGCTCTCCCCAGCCTGGATGCCCTTCACAGCCACGCAAAGCGTGACTACAAGTATAGTCAGGCATACAACTACATTGCTCCTGAGTGTGCTCTCAAAGGAAAGGGTTTCTCCGTAAGCAGTGATGTTTATTCCTTGGGAAGACTTGCAGCCTTCGTTGGCCAGGAGATGCCTGGTCTGAAAGAACTTGGGGACTATGGTTTCAACATCTACTCCAGCCCCCGAGGGAAGAGGCCATCACTTCAGGAGTTCAGCAAGGAGATTAACTATCTGAGATCTCGTACCAATGAGAGTGATTCAGACGAAGACCTTGTATGAACGACCAGGGGAAAGACGCCCGTGGAGGAAAGGGCTGAGACCTATCTTGAGAGTAACAAAGCCTACTGTTCGACACCGCTGTACAGAGAGAAAACCAAACCTTTCCCACAGTTTGCAAATACTTACAGGTGAATAATTTTTACAAAATATTCCTGAACTTCAAGCATTGAAAAGATTCGATGAATAATAATCCAAAACATTTTGTTTAATTTATTACTTTGATCAATGCCTTCATTATTCTGTCACTTTGCGCACAAGGCAACAATAAAGAATGTTCTAGACTTTGACAAATTTTGATAACGTTTTGATTGGAAATAATGTGTTTCATATAAGTGATATTGTCTTCAATCTGTTATATTTCTTTCAGAAGCACCCAGATGAGCTGGAAAAGCAGGCGATCACATTCATTTCCAGCGTGTGGTCTGACAGGGGAGTACTACGCATTGCGTAAGGAGTAAGTCTACTTCTGCAGAAGACTCACCTAGATTCTTAGCAAGAAATTGGCCGGTCTGAAGGATCTTGGGGATCAAGGCTTCTGTATCTATACGAGCCACCCAGTGAAGAGGACATTCCTTCAGAAGTTAAGGGAGGATATCATTCACCTCAGCTATAGTACAGATGAGAATAATTTTTACAAACATTTTGTTTAAATGATTCAAATCCAGTAATGGTATAAACCCCGAAGCAATGCACAACCCGCAAATAGGATTATGTTCCCTATGTGTATTATTCTAGCATATATTTTCTTGTGTATAGTTTGGTGATGTATGATTTATTGCAATTTGCAATGTGGTAAAGCTTTCAGTTTTCACTAACGTTTTGATCTCATCACATTTTATATACCCATTGCTGTTTCGTTTTGAATTTTGAATTTTGGATTTTTTTGTTTGTCTAAAACTTAAATGATCTTTATGTCCCCCTTTCTATATATGTAATGATTGGAAATTGATATTTCAAAATAATATTTCGTTTGAACTATTCTTTTTAATGTAGTTTATGATTGCTTGAAAGAAAATGTGGAAATAATTTTGCCCTTTGAACTTTGACATCTAGATGAAGCTAGAGGTCATCAAGGAGCACACTCGATTCCAGATATGGGCATTGGCAGGACAGCGCGGTACCTGAACCTACCTTAACAGTAGAGTAGCTTGACATCACTCCACAGACCAAGAGACGGCAAGCTCATTCATCACAATATGCATTCAAGGTGACTAATATACTCTTGCAATTGTAGAAACATGTAGTTGATGCTTCATTAAGTCGGTGATCAATTTTTGTAGGTGCATTATATTATTTGCAGGCATATTAGGTAGGCTATCTATCACTTAGAGCAAATATCACTAAAAAGTTGCATTACATAATAAAGAGACACTTGGATGTTTTATAGTATAACCTTTTGTTATTCCGTTATGTCCTCTATGATAGATGTGGAAACATGCTTGTAGAAACTAGGAGACTACGTATCTTCAGATCGGGTTTGAGAGG